CCATGGCAACTTTGGATGTCAGCACAAAATATCAAGACTTGTTAAAGGAAGAGGGCATATGAATTATAAATCTCTGGTGAGGAGATATAATTTAAACCTTTCATCCAAGGAACACATGTGAGTTAGAATTTGAAATGTCACACCATCTATAACTCTCAACTCTGTTGAAAATATTTTAATAATTTTTTTTTGGGTGGTACCAACCTTTTACTAGAAGCTACCCTGGGTCCCGAGTATTTCAAATGAACTGCATTTATCATAATTTTATTGACATATTATCAGATTTATTGGTCTTGCACGATACTAGTTCACAACGAGCGTCATCAATATATGCCAGCAATCTTTTCTGATCCATCTGGCCTTAGCATGCGGCATTTTGCATCGAGTGTGGATTCTACGTTGCCTCAGTCCGATACCATGAGTTGTAGTTACTCATTTTAAATACACGGACAAGTAACGAACAATATGGCAAAAGGAATAGATGCACACCAAATTCTACCTAAAAGAATGATAAGCATACCGATTCATTTCCCAATTCATGTCTGCAAATGGAAACAATATATAGATGTGTGCTGGGTGTGATGCATCTAATATTGAGGAATCCACTCATCTGGTTGATCACAACCATTATACTTATCAGCCTTTGTTTTTTCCATCTTGATTCTTGGGTGAATCTCCACAAAGGTAGGAAAGACATAGGTTGTTATATTTTAACCTCAGCAAATTTATCAGCCCTTTTCAATTCATGACAATAAATATGAAATTTCTCTGCCTCCTCTGTACCCTGTTATCAAACTAAGGTCAATCACGTTCACAGTTCAAACTCGTTAACTGCTATGAAGTCAGCCGTTGACTTCACAACCCGTTAACTAGATCTAAATTTTCATCTCCAAATTTATCAAATATCGCATCAAACTTGTAACTTCATCAGTATTGGTTTGCTTGAAAGAGGAGATGATGTCCCTCAAGGAGGCAGGAGAGGTTCCTTTCAGCACACAGTGACCACATTTTTTTGCCTGGTGCTATACTGTTGCCTCTCAACTTGCGGGAGCAAATACTAATTTTCTTTGTCATGGTAGCAAAAGCATTTGTGGAATTGCTAGGTGTCCTTACGTATCAGTGTTCTGCCCCTCCTTCTGTCTCGTTTCTCTTAAGAAGCTGGACTTCAATCCCAAAGTTCAATTTTCTTGTCACCAAGGGCAGGAAGAGCTCAGCCTTGTTACGTAAGTTACCTAATTATTTAATAGACGTTACTTGATGTGGTGGTGGTATTTATTGGCTAAATTATGTCAAGTAATGCAGTATTTTCTGTAGAATCTCATTAAGTTGAGTTAGCATTGACCTGTAGTTATACTACTTGGGACCTTCCTTACTGCGCTGCTGGTGTCATGCTCCTGGGATATTTGCTACAGTAGAATATGTTCCACAGTCTACTAGGTTCAAGAAACTATGAGGCGACAAGGTATGCTCCTAACTCCTAAAATTGAATCTCTATTCTTTGGATGTGTTCTTGACTTCTTATGCCTAGAAGGTGAGAATTCTAGCCTTGGGTTGGAGCTCTTGAATTAGAGTTGAGTACAGCTAGTTAGCGATTTTTTCAGGGTCTGCTGTGAATGATTTTTTTTTTTTTTTTGCGGGGTGGGCGCTTCACATTAGATATATTTGGATTGGACAAGGAGATATATGAAAGGATAAGATTCATAAATGTAATACTTTGAAGTTTTGGATTGAGAGGCGGTGCCACTGCCAAGCCAATATGTGTGCGTGTGTGTGTGTGTGTTCCTCTCTTTTAGTCATTACTCATCATTGACGCCTGTTGAGTACTTTCAGCTTAAACGTTTAAAGTTACCTCCCATTTCGACTACTAAAGGTCAAAAGACTCAAGATTTGCTGCCAAGTGTAGCAACTGGTTATAGCCTAATGCTTTACTAAAATTCTTTGAAAAAGCAGTTTACTCGTTTTTTTCCCCCTAGCAAGAGATGGTCTAGATTTACTTTTGAACCGGCTTCCAATCCATTAGTGTCTGTAAAATTTAACAAGAAGCTGGAGAATTACCAAGTCGTAATAAGGATGGCTCGATGAGATTCGTTAAGCTGCAATAGGGGAAAAATTATCATCTCATTCTACTTTTAAGCTACTCACATTTTGATGGCTCTCTTTTACTAGCCTTGCGGTGATGTAATTACCAGCACTCCTTTCCGAATTTATGTGCAAATTGAGAGTGTGAGCAGCTATGTATTCCTTCTAAAATCAACAAGCCCCTGGCAGATGATAGTGGTTGGTATTAATGTTCTGTTCCATTATCCGTGTAGGAAATGCTCATCTGATTGATCCATCCTAGCTCTTGTTCTGCTTCACAGTTTGTTGATAATAAATAGTCAGAGCAGTTCAAGCTTCGTGGGCGAATTTCATTTGCGTCACTGATTGCCTCTGATTTGTATTTTTCTTCTAGATATTGAAAGATGAATTGAGCCTTCTCAAGAGGTGTATAGTTTATATATTCTGCAAGTGAGAAGGCATGTGCAATGGTAACTTCCATTTTTATTGTTATGACTGCCATCACCCTATTTTATATGGTTCATGCATTTTTGTGAGTTAAGCAAAGGAGCCTCCATAACTTCAGTACCTTAAATCCGGGGACTACCTCTAATACTCCTTTACGTGTTGGGATAAAGCCGGTTTCTTGGGTTTTGTTTGTGCAGACAAAACAAAGAATACCCAAATTACCGATAATTTAGATTATGCTATGTTTTTTGGAATACAATAGGAGGCAAAAAGCCTAGAGGGTAAAAAACAACAACGAATCAACTCATAGCCATAGGTTTATTACTTAGGTCATAGCCCATTGCAGCTAAGCGACTGGGCTAGAGGATATTAATTAAGAATATGCAATTTCAAGTTCACAACTGGTGATCCATTGATCAGTTCGTGCAATGCCCTTTCCATTCTCCCATCTCAAGTTCTTCTTCTTCTTTTTTATCACTAATGAAGTTAAAAAATAAAAAGGTTTGAAGTGTTGTCGTGTGAAACGATCCACTCTATTTACTCGAGTGTTTGCATTTTGTACCGTGCATGACAGGGAATGAAGATGGAGGGGGAAACGTTAATTGATGTCTGCGTCTGTTTTAGGTACGGATCTTGATCTGTAGTTAATGCGATGCCCAATTTACTATTACTATAAGCACGGGTTATGTTCCTTGATGTCGCCTCATTGGTGGAAAGTGGAAGCCATACTGACGCTTAGTCGGTGCAGAATGTAGAATATTATTCCGCTGAGCAGTCCAGATGGATGTGTTCCAAGTGGGGCATGAACCATGCGCGAAGATAACAATGATTGATTTAGTTAAATCGAAATTTATTTTTTAATGAAAAAAAAAATCTTAATTTACTTTGATGATAGCTTTCATGGTATTACACAACGAACGCCTAATTTTATGCTTAATGGTCAGAGCTCCCAAATTTGCCTCGGTAGTCGATTCTAGCGTTTTAAAGTTCGTTGACACTTTCATAATAAGTTGAGTTTTGAGATAAAAGACGCAAGGCAACTGTCTCAATTTGCCACCGTCCTTTATAGTCCCATTTCATGCACCAATCATATTGAAAGCTTTTTCCCATTATTGTAATCCCAGAAGAAATTAACTGCTACGAACTGAAACTTTTCTGTTGGCTTTTGTCAGCGTTAGGAGAACCACCTTGCATGAGAAAGCACCCGACTAAAGGAAGTTGAGTGCATAGAAGAGTCACCTAAAGAAGCAAGGTGGATTAATTATTATCATTTTTATTTTTATAATACTTTGTCATGTCATATTCTATGATTCTATCAGTGCTCTCTATAGTGGATCCCCATCCCATTATGACCCAAACCAACTACTCGATGTCATGTTACGCACTAGAATTTTGACGCAGTGCCATTCTCATGAAATGGTGAGATCACATTATATTTTTTTTTTTTTTACCCTCCCATTTCAGAGTTCCTTCTTCAATGCAATTTGTTGTTACAGCAGGAGAGTGGGTTCGGTCACGTTCTGCAAAAAAGGTTCACAGGAGCTTCCTTCTCCCAGCGATATGACCGTGAACTGCTGCCCTTCCTTCTTCCTTCGGTGCGTGGTTTAATTAACTTCCGCGAAAAGCAAAAATGAATTCGCTCGACCTTAAACTACTTTTACACACTTGCAGCAGCGAAACTCGTATGACTGACACGCCCCTGACATAGCTCTCAGCTTTTTCAAAATTCCGCTTGTGCTTCCGTTGAAAGGTTCCACCTTCACATGGACCAACCTGTATAGAAAAGGAACCTTTATTTTACATATAATTATTCAATGGTGCAATTATTCGAAAACGCTTGATAACTCATGCTGTCCAATAATGCGTGGCCGCATGTCCCCATTTGCACTATTTTTATTGAAGTCGAGACAAAAGCGTCAACATATCACAATTACTTATCCTATCAATGCCTTCCTTTCCTTTATGCATATAAAATTTCCTAATCACATAGTTTATAATGTTAAGCATGCAAAATCTCTCAATCCAGTGTATTTTCTAATGATATAGTTCACAACGTAGACCGCATGCTTTGTCAATGTTGCTCTAAAAATCTTTTATACATCACAATTTTTACACATTATGTCATTATATTATTCCAGAATGTTGTTAATTAGTCACTAGCACTAGTGAGTTATGCATAAGCATCTTTAGTGAACTATAATAGTACTCTTCTAATTATTTGTTGAATAGTGCGCCTCTCAGACTCAATTATACTATCATTTTCTTTTCTTTTTTTCTTTTTTCTCCCTTCTCTCAATTTGCATTACAGTTGTATCACCAAAAATGCCTTAATTCTGTTCCCTTATATTTGATCTCTTTCCCATTCTTTATTGTTCATAAATATAAATGTGTTACGATTAATTGTTTATCCACATGGATCGATATATATATATATATATATATTCTTTTCCTCCAGCTTGGGCTAACCTTCATTACATTCATTTATCAAGTCTGTCATTCCTGCTTCCTGTCTCTTGTGTCACTTTTCCCCCCTCTATTTCCTATATCTCATCTTTGATCACACGGGTCACGTTTCTCTTCTGTGAGACTGTGACTTTATGCTTCTTTCATGACCCAAGTAGTCACTTTGAGACACTTCTCACACTGTCTTTAGTGGATCTATATATATTATTTTTATTTTGGTCAAATTTTTGGTGGTTCATCACATGACAAATCCAATAAGACCGGCTTCCATTGTCTATTATTCTTCTCAAAATTCATTGGGTTCTGTGAACTTTTGGCTTCCCCAATAAAATTTGACCTTAAGCTTCTTTGCCTCCTCCCTCACCCTATTAATATAAGGCATTCCAAGCAACCTGCTTGGGGACTTTCATCGCTCAAGCACTTGGTTAAGCTTGAGGTAATTGTTGTGAGAGCAGGGAACTTCCTTCAACTCCGACTGCCTCAGGGATAACAAGAGGTCGACATGGGTAAGCTTGGAAGAATGTTGGACACGCTCTGTTTCTCTTCCTGCTCAAACTCTTGCTTCTGTGTAAATTCCATGGAATTTGATGATGAGTTTGAGGGAAAGCCCTTGATTGTGGGTGACGCTGATCAGAAACCAAGACTGAAGGATGTGGTTGCGGGCAAGCAGACTTTGGCTTTTCAATTGAAACCCAAGGTGACCCTTTCTTTTCTTTTCTCTTTCTGCTAGTAAGTTGTTGGTCTCCCACAAATCTCTCTTTCTTGTTTCTACGCAGAAGGATCAAATATTTTAGCTAGTTTGGTATTTTAGACGGGCTGTGTGGATTAACAGGATTTCCTTCTAATGATGCTGCACGCAGATAGTGATATTGAGGGTGTCCATGCACTGCCATGGATGTGCAAGGAAAGTTGAGAAACATGTGTCAAAGTTGGAAGGTGAGTGCATTGCCAGTCTTGGTTTCATATTTTGATGCTCAAAGATATACCTTAACAGCTCCATCAATCATCAAACTGGAATGAAAATGGCTCTAGAAAACTGAAGATTATCAATCTGAGATGATATTGCTCTTAGGCATGCTAGCTTTGAGCTCCATTCTCCTTAAATTTTGACACTGTGTCTGAACCTGGTATTTTTCTTATAACATCAGAAGCCAGACGAAATTGGCAAATTCTACCATCACTTACTGAACCAATTACTGTTCAGCAATAAGATAATTCCAGTTAGGTTGTCCAACTGTCCACCAAAGGAGGGAGATTACTTTAGTTGCCTTTCTGACAAAGGCAGTGTCAAAATGTGAAAAAGTCTACATTAATGTTGTTTTTCCTCAGTAGTTGGTATGAATAACTTTTGTCTCTGTTCGACTCGTGATAAAAAAATACAGTACTAACTGCCTTCCTTCCTCCACCTCTAATCAGGAGTGAGCTCATACAAGGTAGATCTGGAGACCAAAATGGTAGTTGTTATTGGGGACATTCTTCCCTTGGAAGTGTTGGAAAGTGTGTCGAAGGTCAAGAATGCACAACTTTGGGATTCTCCAAGCTGAACTGCTAACGAGGAAAAATTTGGCCACAGGATTTATTTCCCAGCAGAATCCATCCACCATGACAAAAAGCAGAATGAAGAAGCTCTATATTTCCTGTCATTCTGTGCTCTTTTTCCAAAATGTATAATACCCATGCTGCTGGAAAGAAAAAAACAAGAAAGCGATAGTGCATTAAATATCTCTTTTTGGGACTCGAGAAGCGAGATCTACTTCCATGTTTGGCCAAGGTTGATGATATCTTATTCTCCGCTTACATATATACATATATGTATGTGTATGTCCTGTTAAATTTAGGAGGCTCCCTGTCCTGTAAAATACTCCCTAAATCACGCAGTAATACTAATATGTTAAACGAAATTAATAGCTGAAGAAAGTTTGAATGTGTAATTCTGCTTGGTCGTCTGTTGAGCTAGAGTGACTTCAGGAGGAGCAGAACGCAAGCACGGCGGAAGATTCTTTGGTAAATGTGACAGAAAAAAAAAGCCACCGATCAATATTTATGTACTTTCTGAAATCAATTATACATATATTTTTTAAAAAATGTTAAAATTATTAATATCTCCGGTATATTTTCAATATCTAAAATTCTAAACAAGTTCTTTTAAAAAATAAATTACATTAATATTTTTGTTTAAAATATACTCACTCTATTAAAAAATGTAAAGCATTTTCTGAAGGGTTTAATATTAAAAATATAAGATATTTTTAATTTTTTAAAATGTAATCATTACATTTTTTCAATAGGTGCCCTATTGAATAAATCACTTTATAAATATGAAAAAATAAGGTTAGTTTGAAGATAAGTAATTACTTTATTGAGAAATGAAATTCGGTTAAAAATATTTTACATTATCACTTTATAAATATGAAAAAATAAGGTTAGTTTGAAGATAAGTAATTACTTTATTGAGAAATGAAATTCGGTTAAAAATATTTTATATTTTTAAACTAAAAGAGTATATATTAGTTTAAAATAACAATTGTTCAATGAAAATAATGGAAAATTATTTAAAAAAAGATTCTTCTAAGTTTTATTGAAATTATATGAATCTTTTTCTAAAAGAAAATAAGGGTAATGCTCCCCATTAAAAATTACAATACATTTTGTGAGATAAGATGTTAAAAAATATAAGACATTTCATGTTTTCCAAATGTAATTACTATTTAATGAATTTTTTAATTGAGACATTCTACTAAATAAAGGTAAATATAAAAGGGATATGTAATTTTAAAGAAAAATAACTAACACATTAAAAAGGTATCTTCTCTATTTTTATATATAAGAGAAAAAAATTGTATATATTACACAATTTAAAAAAATTAGTTAATCATAATAATTGTGGCTGAAAATAAAAAATTAGACTAAAATACCCTATGTAATCAACATAAGTATGCAATAATTATTTTTCGTTCATGTAAATTATAAGAGGTAATTTAGAAAATACTTTTCTGTTCAAAAACGTAAAGCATTTTTAATCGAATTTCGCTCTTAATAAAATAGTTACCTACTTTTCAACTAACCCCATCTTTTCATATTTATCCCTATTAAACACCCTACAATAAATATAAAATCATTATCAATAATGGTATTTTTGAAAAAAAGATAATGATTACACATTAAAAGACTAAAAATATTTTACATTTTTGAACATCCAACACCTTAAAAAATACCTTATATTTTTAAATAAAAAGAATATATAGTAAATATTTATTAAAATAAGTAATTTTGCTTATATAAAAAATAAATAAAAAGTGATAGTTTTTTTGATAAATAAAAATGGAGGGAGTAATGTAATTAAAAATATTTTATAATATTAAATGAAATGAGTATGCTATTTGTGGCGGGGATGACTAACGCAACTTTTGGAAATAAATGAAAATGATTTCAGGTTATAAAGACTAAACCCTGAATGATTAGAAAAGATGAGATCTATGCATATGTTTGGTGGCGACAGCCAATGACAGGGAGAGCAAAAGATTTGGGAAGATCCAGAATGCATGGCATGGCTTTTCTGGTTGCTTTTAGCAGAATTTGATTGCCATGGATGTGCCCCACGGAGCTCACAAAATAATAAATACTAATAAACATCACAGACTCTGAGGATTGCTAAAGCGCTCAGATTTGAACGAATACTAGCACTCGCCTGAGAGGATACTTAGCTTGAGTCAAAAGCAAAACTTCTGAAATACACAGCCAGTCACAGGGCATCAGAACAAATAAATGGCTTTGTTCACTGTTAAAATTTGCATTTACTGACACGCTATTGGCCTCGTTCCTCTGTTAACGTTCAAAATACACAGAGTCACAGCTTTTGCTTCACGTCTTAATTACGGAAACCATGTAAGAGCTTCTTAAAGGCTCGCTCATTGTTCGTGGCTTCCAGTTTTACTTTTGAGTTTCAGATTTGTGTCCATAAAAGCTGCACATACGTCGTGAGTTATTATAAACCGTTCAACGCTTTATAAAAATAAGTTTTCATTAATTATATTTTAAATATTATTTTTTATATTTTCTCTCTCTTTAATATTATTTCATAAATAAAGTATTAAATAAATAATATTTTTTAAAAAGTATATTTTATTTTAAAAAAATAAAGTGTAAAATATTTTTAATGAATTTTATTTTGTTAATGATTTTGTCTAAAGATATCTTACAAATTCAGCTGGATAAAGTATTAATTTCATGACAAGTCAATTATTGAGATCACAGGCCAATCCATAAAGCATATGGACATGGCGATGGTGGTGGATGAAACTTAAACCAAGGAAAAAATTAATTATATAATTTTAATTCAATTATAATCTAATTTTTAAATTTTGACTCATTATAACTCAGTTTCTAAAGCTTTAATTAAGTTGTAACTCAATTTATAAACTTTAACTCTTATAACTTAATCTTTATATTTTTAATCATTTACATATTAGTCCCTATATTTTAAAAAATAAAATTACAAAAATTAAAATTATGTTAAAATTTATTACTAATATTTTAAATCAACAAACCATTTCAATATTTATAAATATTAAAATTTTAAAATATTATTTTAAATTACTAAACCCTTTTAATCTTTATAAATATTAAAAGTTTAAAATATTTTTAATATTTATCCAAATGATTAATTTTCCTTTAAATCAACTAACTTTTTTTGTTGGTTCAATTTTTTTTAAATACAATGTTGTTCTTTTTTTTTTTAATGTATCTCTAAAAGAGCATGGGGCAAATACCCACATGTAGAGATAAGAATTAGGGTGGGTTCGGCCCTTTAAGGCTAGCCTTTATAGACCTGACTTTTAAGGGCTCAGGTTCTAAAATCTCGTTATTCAAAATTGAACTTAATTTTAAGGTTCGGCCCTTATTTAAAGAGTTTAGGGTCGGGCTCCTAAACCCTCTTTTCAAAAAAAAATTTAACATTTTAATTTAAACAAAATATTTTAAAATTCACCATGAAACAAATCAAAGTCTCACATAAAATTCAATAAAGATTTAAAATTTTAAATTTAAGATAAAAATTAAAATATTTATCAATGTAAATCTAAATCCTCCCCATCATCATCTAAAAATAAAATATTAGATCTCTTATATGTAGATCCACTTATTGAAGATTGAGGTAAAGATTCAATGTCAATTATTTTTGCAACTTATTCTTCGTCACCTACAATAAATATTAACCAAATTGTGTCATTATCAATCAAATATATGTATGTATGTGTGTACATATATATAAGATAATCAGGCTTATCAGGGTTTGAAGGGCCGCCCGAGCCCGAACTCCTTTTCACAGGGCTTATCAAGGCCAAGACCTCAAACTCAATTACTTTAAAAAAATTAATTTTTAAAGCCCAAACTCTTATTTAAACAGGGCCTCTAAGCTCGGCCTTTCAAACTCGACTTTTATTCCTAACTTTACCCTCATGTGCCTCTCTTCGCCAATGAATGAGATCATATGAGAATACGAATTTGTTTTAAAAATCAATATGGGTGGAATTAAAGTTTGATGAAGCACATAAATGAAAAGAAATTGTATGTCAAATCAATTAATTTTAAAATTTTGAACCAAGAATTATGTTTAAACTCGTTTATATACCTTCCCTTGAAACTCTAATAAAAACCTCTCCGTACATTAAAGCATAAAATTTCTTGTGTGAGGCATGCTGAAGATGGAAATAGCATGTATTTTCTGGTCAACAATAGCATGTTCTACTTTTGTTAGGAACATTTTTGGTCCTATCCGGGGCAAATTGAATTAGCTAGAATCTTTCTCATGAAACTGGCAAAAGCTACACGAAGAAAGTGAATTGGGATATCCTTTTTGGGTTCATTTATTGGGATGTACGGGTAGAAAGATGAGGAGGAAATCCTTTGATGTGGATTTTGCTGAGAATCACAACACTGTACTGTCTATCTTTTTTAGAGTGTGTTCAGATGTGGATCTTATCCGATTAGCTCCCTTCGTGAACTATGAGAAACATTTGCCAAGAATCAACACCACTTACAGAAATGGAGTGGTTAGACTTGAGATTCTAGCCATTGTTCAAGGACTTCAAGTTTGCTGGTCACCTAAAGATATACAACGACTATATTCATGCCATCTGATTGATTCAGCATGGGTCTAACAATGAGCACCCCTTTAGAGGCATCATTGAGGATGTTAGATTGCTTTACCACAAAAATTGGAAGCTTTTGATGTACCATTTTGGTAGGCGTTGTAATTATAAGGTTGATTATCTAGTTAGGTTCTCTTATAGTTTAAATATTAGTTTTGTACCTATGAACCCCCCCAACATCTTATGTGGGAGGCAATAGATGATAGTGATTCTATTGAAAGTATTATTTATATGAATTTATTCTTATTAATACACGTTTTTTTAATTTAAAAAACATCAATTTTTCTTATTTGCAAAAAAATTTGAATAAGTTTTATTTAGAGATCATAAAAAACGAGACATACCTTTAAATTTTAAAAAAACTTACAAAGATTATAAATTGTTTACTAACAAAGTTATTGTAAGATTTGAACCAACAATCACATGAGTTATAAGTTAAGTCTTTATTAACTGAACTAATTTTTATTGATTAAAAAAATCAGTTTTACACTTTAACTATTTAATACAATGTTTGTTTTCGCGATCAACGATGATGCAAAAGCCACTTTTTGGGCACAACACTTGTTGAAGGAGTATGGAACACTGTTCCAAACACGCACACATGAACAATCCCACTAACTTGAAGAACTTCTTAACGCTTTTGTAAAGCTGATACTGCATCCCAATTCGGAGCTTTAGTAACATCTCTGTGAACCAGAAAACAGAAATATTGTAGAAAGCTAGCATGTACTATAAACCATAGCATCCATTTTCTGCAGCCACTGGTTAAGAAGCCTGCATTATATAAGTCTCAATAATGCGAGATTTGAGGCAATTAAGTGTAATATATCATATTTGATTTTTGCATCTGATTCACATTATTAGTTAAATTGAATTTCAATATAAAACATAAAATTCATAACAAAATCGTGAATATAAAACTAATCTTTAGTTCCTTTGAAATGCAAGGATCACTCTAGTAAATGTGATAAAATAACTTGACTACAATGGAGATGGGATTTGGGCCTAACTCTTCGGATTTGAGCCCAGGCTCAAAACTCATGATTGACTAAGTCAAATTAGATATTCGTTTCTTCATTTTTTTTTCCAGCTGCGTGTGGAACAAACCTGCTTGTGGCAAAAACCAATGCTCCATCCACTCTCGTCACTTGGCCCAAATGCAATGTCACGTTGTCGATCACGTGACATACCTGACCCCCAGGGGAATTATTGCGTGAGGTTATTGCCATTTTTCAAAGTAGGATATTTATACTCGTGCGTTTGGCCCCCTTTATTACTGTTTCTTTTTTTTTTTAATCAAAATCTTCCCTTTCTTACTTAAATAGCCATTTATGATAAAATTGTAAGGGCTTTTTTTTGGATTTTTGGTAATTAAATTACACGGTGCTTTCTAAAATTTTGTTGAAAATTGCCTGAACATGGTTTTATTACTCATGTAATTGAATGTGAGAAGAATGTAATGAAATCAATCATCAATCCCTATCACTTCACTTCGCTACTATATTATATTATATTTTATATTAATAAAAGTTGTAGGAAATGGGACTAAGTTGTGAATAATGCAACCTTACATAAAAGTCCATGTAAATCCACATATATAATTTGATTTGAATTTATACTTGCTTACAAAATTATTGGCATTTTCATAATATAAATGAGGGGGAGTTTCACTTATAACTTTGGGAGAATTTTAAATAAAGACTAGTGATGTGACTTAATTATTAATGGGTTCAAAAAAATTCTTAAATTTTAATTCAATCTAGAGGATAAAATTAAAAATAATTTTAATTGTAAAAAATAAAAATACCCTCATTTGTTATGCAAAATTACTAGTTAATTTTTTTCACTCTACTTGTTAATTTATCAATATCACTTACAAATTACATCCTTTATCAGATAAGCAGAAACAATGGTTGTTAACTTGCTAATTTTACTTGTTAATTTATTAATAGATTCGACAAAATTCTGTAAGTAATTTACAATTAATGTTAGTAAATTAATAAGTAAAGTTAATAATTTAATAATTGATATTGCTACTTATGATTGAACAACTAATGTCAAGTCTTATATAATTATTGACATGTCAACTCATATAATTTGCAACTCGTATTAGTAAATTAACAAGTGAAATAAAAAAAATTAACAACCAATAATTCTGTATAACAAGTGAAGGGTACTTTAATCTTTTTATAATTAAAATTATTTTTGCTTTTATCCTTCTAAACTGAACTGAAATTTTAAAATTTTGTAAAACTCACTAATAATTAAATTACATTTCTAATCCTTATTTAAAATTCTTCCTATAACTTTTGTTAAAAGAAAATACATGAGTAAATTATACAAACAAGATAAAGATTTAGAAAAAAGTGTAACAAAAATTATGAAAAGTATATACAATTTACTAATTTTCTATCAACACTCGACAATGTCAAAATTTAACATAATCAAGTAGCTATATCAAAAATATATACAATCAAAAATCTAAATATTTTCTTGTTATTAAAATTTGGGAAAATAATACTAAAAATTCTATCAAAATATATAAATAATAATTAAATCCTTCAAAATATCATAATTCCTTCAAAGTCCATGGATATCTTTTTGAAATTAATAATTTTAGGTTAAATAATTAAATTTTTCCTTATTAAAAACAAAAATAATGGGTTTGGCTATAGTTTTTCAATCATGATTTTTGTTTAAACAATAAGAATTTTTATTATATAAATCATAAAAATTGAACAAAAAATTATAACTTCTCAAATAAAATTTTTTTATAATTGATAAACAAATTTTAAAAATAATAAATCTCAATTATAACTTTTATTTAAATAATCATAATTTTAATTATGTGAATCATAAAAATTAAGCAAGAATTATAACTTCTCATATTAAATTTCTTTTACCATTGAAGTATAGGTTGTAAAAATAGTCAATTATAACTTTTATTTAAATAATCATAACTTTTATTTAGTAAATAATAAGAATTAAAAAAATTACAACTTTTTATATAAATTTTTTTATAATCAAAACTTAAGTTTTAAAAATAATCAATTATAATTTTTATTCATTCTGTAAATTATTTATATGTTTCAGACTTTGTGGTGAAATTTTATTATCCCTTTTTTCTTAAAACTTTGGGGAGAAAGCTAATCCGTGCCGTTATTAACTACGAGAATAAACCAATGAAGACTTAAACAAGCAGGAAAGGTCAAGAAAGCGACAGAAGCAAAGACACGTGTCCATCATTTATCACCGGGGAAGAAACAGTCGAACGAAGTTAAAGAGGACCCGCGTCCTGGCCATTGTGACGATGGATACGGATGCGTCCTTTTTCTTTTTCTTTTTCTTTTTCTTTTTTTACTGAAATAAGCACTATTAAATTAAAAAACAAAAACCTGTACGACGAACAAAAACCCCTCCCCCCAAAGGGTTAACTCCTTTCACCATCTATCCTCTGATTGTATTGGGAAGGTTGAGAAAACAGCTTTTAATAACTGAAATGAAACAATCCAACCATTTTTAAATTAAAATTATAATTAAATATAACACCAAGTTCGGGAACGAGGGAGCTTAGAGAGCATCAGCTGATCGTTTGGCAATTGCCTCTCAAATCGCAAAATCACACTGCAATTCCAAACCATGAACCCCAAAATTCCCTTCCTCTGCTTCTTCCTTTTGCTTCTCGTATCTTCTTCTTCCCAAAATCCTAACCCTGAAACCTCGATTTCCTCTCAGTCACCGTCCCCGGCTCACGCCGAGCTTGCAAGCTATGGCTTCCCTGTTGGCCTTTTACCCGCCGCCACAGTATTGCGCTACTCCGTCGACCAGACCTCTGGCGACTTTTCCGTTGAACTCGGTGATATGTGCAAGATTACGCTTCCTCCCGATAACTACGTCGCCACCTACTCCAAGAGGATCACTGGCAAAATTGTCAAGGGCAAGATAGCACAACTGGATGGTATAAGGGTGCGGGCTCTCTTTAAGTGGTGGTCTATCACTGGGATTCGCTCTACTGGCGATGACATAGTGTTTGAAGTTGGCATGGTCACGGCGAAATATGCGGCAAAGAATTTCGGCGAGAGCCCTGCTTGTGAGGGCCAGCGCTCTGCTTCCTGAAAGGTCCTTGCCACTTTTGATTTTTCTGTTCGAACTTTAACTGCATTATGTTAGTTAAATTATCGTGCTTCGTGCTTTTTATTACTTGACAGGTATTGAATAAATTTTTACTTTCCACCCAAAGTAAGTTGATAGCTGGATATTCTGCATGGCTTGAATCTCACTGAGCGACTTGATTCCGAATAATAATCATACTCTTCATTGACTATTCCTTTTGTTTTCTACTACTTAGGTTTTTTTTTTTTCCCCTGATCACGGCTACTTTCTCGCAATCGTGGCTTTCACTTTCCAATTTGCATCGAGGACCTTTTATAAACCTTGCTTGCAATCAAAGCATTCAACTTCTTATGTGATGATAGATCGATGGATGGTCTATTAAGAATATGCATGAGAATATCTTTTTGATTGAATAGAAGAACGAAAGAGTAGTCTAGAATAGGTCAGCTTTCATTTTCATTTTTTAATTGTTCCACTATGTCTTTTGGATAGCAAATTATGATGGCTAATAAATAAATAAAACTTTCCACGTGGTTGTTTTTCTTATAAGTATGAGTTGTGAATTGGGAACAATAGTAAGTTCAAATTAGAAGTAAACGTTGTAGATTAATTGTAAATGCATAGGTTTTGATTTTGTGTATATTTAGGTAACCAGTAGGCTTTAATAATAGTGGTAACATGATTATAATTTGCCAAAAAGATTATAAGGCTAATAATCCATGATTTTAGTTATTATATAAGGTTTGAGTTTTGACTAGTTTTCGATGAATTTTACAATGCTACCAAACTTTATCCTTTTAGGACTTATGATGCATAAAGACGGGAAGATTCAGTTCAGTCATTTCTTAACAATTCCTCCTTGCTGCTATTGGTTAATCCCATATTATTTTCATCCATCCTGTATATACTATTATGGTTTTGAATCGCCAGAATGTGGAACTTATTAGTTGTTATAGACTGCTTTGACTGCTTGACCTTGGGCTTATTTCTCCCTTCTTTTTTTCCTCTTCCTGAATAATGTTTCATTTATCATAACAAGTTGTTTTTCCAGAATTGATAATAGCATGTTGGTTTTCAAGAAACAAGGGAGTTATGTGTTTAATTTTAAAACATCAAATTTGTTTTTCAGTAGATTCTACATGTGAAAATAGAATCTATTAGACAGTACTGTTGTCCAATTTAAAGATTGTTTTGATAGAGGTAGATTAAGTAAATTATTTTTTATAATGGTTCTAATTAATCTTATTTCTTCATAGCTTTCTCATACTGTCATTCAATGAAAACTGAATCATGTCCAAACCCCTGCTTATGGGTAAGGATTCCCGCTTCATTTTACTCTAAGCAGTACTTAGCTTTCAATTGGTGTGCAGGAACCAAGTCTTGCAAGTTGCAGCAATACTCTTTTATTTGCCCCTTGTGTTGCTTGTGTTTATTGTTTCAGCTTGGACTGATAGTCTAATGCTCCCTACTGTCCTATTTGTAGGAGACATTCTAAAAGTAATTTTTGGTCCAAAATGTTGAATACTTTGTAATATTTAAAATTTTAAACCACTTTTTTCAATTTTACCCATTCTTTATTAACAAGAAGGTATTTAATATAGTCATATCATTATTTAAAGCCAATGGTAAAAATGAAAGTATATTTCATTTTTTTTATAATATCAAGGAAAAAAAAATTAACTTTTTTTAAAATACATGAAATAGTTAAAAGTGGCTTACAATAAGGATTAGAGGGAATATGTATCTTGGGGTACTCTTTCCACCATGAGATAAGATATGAGAGCTCGAAATTTCCAACCATTGGATTATATTTGAGATTTTTTACATGGTGCTAAATATTGCATATCATGAATCCTCAGGCTCTCTATGCTCAAGTCTGTCCATGTTGACAATATTTCATACCTCCATGCACCAAGTTAGAATGTAAATTTATTGGTATTAAGAAGTTGAGGAACTTAGTCCCCAGGAGTTATGCCTATGGAGAGATGTGGAAGTGCCAATATTGTATTTTGGTAGTTTTTTTTTTTTTTTTTTTTTTTGATAGGAAGGAACACAAAAAAAGAAACAAAACCAGGACATGCCTAGGAGATTACGGTGGCCTTGACAAGTGCATTAAGTACACATCATTGGGAGGAACATGATGAAAATCAGGTGCCAAGCCCAATGCCTTTTCCGTGAGAGAGTCAGCCAGCTCATTCGTGTCTCTAGAAATATCGCAAGAGAGTGTATTTTGGTAGTATTTAATATACTCTTTTTATCACTTAGCAATATGTGTACTTTTCTACTTTTTTTAAAAAAGCGAGTGCAGGGCAGTCTTTTTTTTTTTTAATAGAATTATTTTTTGTGTTCTCTTTCTCTATAATTCCTTTTCATTCTGTGTGTTGTTTGCATCAATATGAATTGTTAACTGTACAGCTGAGGGGGCCATGTAAAAACAGCTAGGCACATCTGTTGAGTGCATTGGTTGGTTAATTTAGCATTATTCTTTGTTCAGCTAGCTATTAGATGGCCATTTGTAATTTGAGACATGATCATCATTATGGTTAAAAAAAGGCATATTCATAATTTTCAAATAGGAATCGCTGTTGAATGCTCGCCAAGTTTTGTAGTCTAATAAAAAATGATAATAAAAAAGAAATGAGGCTCCATATCCTTACCTTAAGGAAAGAAATCTTGTTGCATTTGGATTGCATCATGAACTGGTGAATTGCCTTTCCTTCTTTCTAGCATCTTTTAAATAATCTTTCTTTCTTTGGGGGCTATAAAATTCGAAGTTAGGTTTAAAGTCGATGCAAGTAGACATGCATCTTTTGGTTAACCTCTGAAGCCAAGGTTTGCCACTGGCTCAAAATACTGGCATAATGATATTTTGTCATGGAGTTTTCAAATGGGTAGTTTGCAGGAACTTGATCAAATCCTTAAGCAGTTCTGCTTATTGTGAATTCGAAGATGTATTCGGTATATTTTATACTAGTTCTCCACGGATCCAGTATAACTTTATGGACAATGAGTCTGTAAGTTTGTGGCTTTGTGCCGCACATTTCTCATGTTGTTTGAGCTCTCAGAAAAACAAGAAAATCAGCACCGCTAGGCATTTGGATCAGCTGATAAATGGGTTGATCCAACTTAATTAAAGTTCTCGAGATTGAGTCTTGTGTATGCAGTAGTGATTAAATTCTTAAGAGGAGACATGCCCCCTGAAGAGGTGACTACAAGTTGCTAACTAAATTAGCATGGGTCAAAAACTTGGGATGCTAGAACTCACTCAAAAAAGAAGAAGAAGAAAGAAAACCAGCTTGGAGTACCATTAGTTGTAGACTTTCTTTGTGAAAAAAGCCTCAATTATGTTCACTAGGCAAAGGTGCAAATCAGTGAACTTTATAGTATTAGCTCTGCTGTGACGCTAAGCATCTGCCAGTGGTTGAAAGTTTATTTCTCTCTTCTTGGAGAGAAAAAGTTGATTGATGAGATGTAAAATATTATTACTCTCGTTACTGTAGGCATCTCTCTCTCTCTCTCTGTCTCTCTCTGCGTTCCAGATTCATGCGTGAAGCAAGATGTTGACTTGTTTTCATATCTTAGTGTTACGGTATTCCCTAATTCATTTTTGGCGATTCTCGCTGTGGTATAAGAGAGATCTCATTTTACGAAATCTCGATCCTTGACATCTTTTTCACCTCTCTGTGCAGGGTACTTTTGTGCTTTCTCCATGGGTTCAGGCGTTAAGCAAAGTGACCGTGTCCAGGACCCACCATGTAAGTGAAAATCAACCTAAAGCATTGTCGTCTATGGTCGACAAAAATAAACATTACGAAGCTTAGTGCATTAATGCACCTGTATTTATACGTCAGGATTCCACTCTGTTGTCACTCTGTTTGCGGTGCTTGGAATATTGTATGCTTGATCTCCTGACATCTGCTATGGAGCATGAACGATGCCTATATCTGTATCGAATGACGTACCTATTTGTAGGGCTGTTTCTTTCTTTCGTGTATTATTATTGAAGTATTTGAATGCTTGCATTAATTATGAAAAATTTGAAAATAAATAGGTACACCCCTATGAGCCCAACAATGCTTGAGTTGTGGAGCCTTTCCTCTAAAAAAATCAAAAGAAAACTCTTATGCAAAATTATAATACATTACCCATTACTCTACCTACTACCATTTAATGGTTCTCAAGGGACATGTCGATTGTTTGCTCAGCTTGAGGCCTGATGCTGCTTTGAATTGGATCTATGTACATGTTTAATTTGAAGGTTTTATTTGTGGTGAGTAGGTCAAGTTGGACAAACTTGACCTAACAAAAATTAAAAAAGGACTAGTGGAAAGTTTATAAAGTGATGATGTTCTGAATTGGATCTATATACGTGTTTTAATTTGAAGATTTTGTTTGTGGTGAGATTTCACCTTGTGAGATAAGGTTTATTATTGTTGTTTAATTTGTGATGAGTAGGTCAAGTTGGCCAAACTTGACCTAACAAAAATAAAAAATGGACTTGTGGAAAGTTTATAAAGCTAGGTAGAGTTACATGTTATTCCTATAGAAATATATAGTTTATATTCAAGATTTTAGAAATTGACTGTCAATACCTGTTATCAATCTCATTAATTAAATATCAATATTTATTATTACTATTTTTATTTATAATGAATATAATATATAGTTACTCACACTCTTCATACTAGTAACTTATTATTTACTTTCGGTGCATATGAAATCTAATTGTCAACAAAAATAAAATACTCCATTCATAATGTAAAGCATTTTATGGAAGTTGTTTGGTTTAAAATATAAGATATTGTATAATTCTTATAATTTTTTCAACTATATTCTTATTTTGTTTATTAATTCTTTTTAAAAAGTAGTTTACTATAATTTCAATTGTCATTATTAAAGTACTTACATAGAATATTTAATGAGGGTATGATTAAAAAAAACTGCACAATTAATATTAGAGAAAAAAATAAATGTGTGAGATAAAAAAATTGATGTTCTATAATTAGGATCAAAATAAACCCTCCAACTAGATGCTCCTAACTAAAATTTGTGTATTCTTTTAATTTTATTTATAAGTCCTTTTTATTATGTGTTACCATAACAAAAAAAAAACTCATTAACATTGTTTAGAGATTTAATAATTTTTTAATTTTATTCTTATTAAATTTACATATTTTAATAATATATTTTTTGTCTTTAACATTTAATGGAAGATAATGTGAAAATTTAATGAAACAATTAATTAATATGATTAAAAAAAAATCTTTCTTTACCTTATAAATAGCACTAAAGAAAGTAGGATAGAGGTTTGTTCTTATACTTTCCTGATACACATACTCCTTCCTTCTTTATATATAAGGTGTTTATAATTAAATCTCGCGTGCCAATAAAAGTTTGTTTTTTAATTAAAATAATATTAAATCACAATAATTTTTTAATTTTGTCCCTAATAATGTCAATCAATGTCATGATGGTAGTGGGTAAAATACATGATTAACATTTCTATTGTTATTTCAAAAACAAGAACAAAATTATTTAATTACTTAAAAATATTAAAACATCTATTATATTTAAAAATAAAATAAACATTTAAAAAATATCCGGCATGTAAGGATAGAGTATGGAACAGAGATTGAATTACTGAGATTGGCAATGATGGCCTTGGGATGAAGTCCTCAGTCTCATGATTGGCCCAGATGATAGGTCCTCTTTGTCCTGATGACTTCAAGAAATTTTTTCCCTTGGGAATAAGATGGTTAAGGCGCCTGGTTTTCTGTATCTCTAAGAAAATTACGTACAAGCCTTGCTCTGTATGATTAATTATTCTTAAATTAATTGATAATTGAATTTAGAAGAATAACAGCATGTTTTTATTGTCATTCTCTTAAGTTCAATTGTGTGTTATCATTATCAATTTAATTGTCAATGAACTTAAAAGTAATCAATTATATTAAGTGAAATCTCAAAAAAAAAATTTTAACCGGCAAATAAATTTCATTCGTGCGAGAGAAGACAGACAAAAAACAGAGTTCAAATACGAAAACCAAAGAAACAAACAACAGAACAAAACAGAAACTTGATACTCTAGATTAAATTACATTAGCCAAGTCACTTTTTGAGGAAGGGTTTCAAATGTCTGAAAAGCTTGAAATGATTATAAATAAATATGTGTTGGAATGGAAACAGCTGACTCATTTGCTTGGTTGTCCGGGCTTGCATAGACAAGAAGTGCAAGTGGGGCTGGGTGAAACCTAAGATTAGTTGGATAAAACTTAATTTTGATGGAGCTATTAATTTGATTGAATCAAATGCTAGTTGTGGTGGGTTACTTAGGGAAAATGATGGAAATTAGATATGTGGTTATGCCAAGCGTGCGGGGTTTTGTTCTGTGGTTATGGTAGAGTTGTGGGGCGTGTTGTGCAAGTTGAGGGTGGCCAAAGATAGGAATGTGCAGAGGTTAATTATTGAAGGGAACTCCTTGATTGTTTTTAATATACTTAAGGAGGATATGGTTGATGGTTTAGTTAAAAATAATATGATGAAGACAATTAAAGATCTAATTTGTACAGATTGGTAAATACAGATACAGCATACTTACAAGAAAGGAAATACTTGTGTTGATTGGTTAGTTAGTGTTAGTCTTTTGCAAGATTTTAATTTGAAGGAATTTGTGTTTTTTCCTTCTAGTTTAGTTGATTCTTTATATAAAAAAGGTGTCACTATCCCACATGAAATTTTAGTGTAATTTTGCTGGGGCTTTTGCCCTCTTTGTTTTAAAAAAATAAAATAAAATTACATTAGCCAATGCTTTTAAAAAAATGCCAAGGTGTATTTTTGTAATTTTAACAGAATTCAAAGAATTCAAAGATGATTTGTATTAATTATACTTAATTTAAGAAATTCATAAAATCTGTATAATTAATTCGCAGCCGATCCACCCTGTTAAAACTGTACCTTGAACGCATAACAGTAACCTTAATTGATCCTTGAAAATATGTTAACACAAAAAAAAAATCATTATGTCACACTAATATTCGAATCTCATGTTCTATCAAAATTATCACAGAATGAAAAGATCCAATCTTGAAATGCAATTATTGGAGCATCCCCATTTTTTCTCCTTCTGTGTCTGTCTATGTACATAGAGTCCCTTCCCTTTACGTGAGAACTTCAGAATCTTCTTTTGATATTTGTGGCAATGCTGATCACTAAATCTACCAACAACAGGACCAAGAAAACTAGAATCAAAAACTCAGTTTATCATCGAACATTTTGAGAGGTGGGTTGTCATTTCACAGTCACACGTCTATTATTCATTATTCTCTCCTATTTTCAAGGGGTTGTTTGTTGGTGAATACGATTTGTTCATGGAAGAATATGCGTTGCCCTGACCCTTTATGATGGTTTTAAAGGAAAGTGAATCTTATTCTGATTTGCTGCTCATTGGATGGTTCTCAGTGCCTTATTGTCCCTTCGCTTGCATTTGTCTGAAAAACCAAAAAAGATGATTCCTTTGGCCAATTCAACCAATTATGCAATCTGTGCACACTACGCGCTTCGCACTGCATCCAATAAAATCATCTTCTGACCCTCTGAGCTTTGAAGGGCAATTCGCTCAGCCTACGTTGCTTGTAAAATAAAGTCTGATTCACTCTGTCAGTAAAAGAAAAGAAAATCACTCTCAATATCCAATCTTCGAATATAAAGATTCAATTGGTAGAAGAATAAATAAACTTAAAAAATTTAAAATTTTTTTATTTGCATATATTATGATCATATTTTTTTTAAAGGAAGAATCTTATTAAAAGACCTCTCAAAAAAAATTATTCACAAATAAAAATTAATAATAAATTATTATTAAAAAAATAATTTTTTGTTATTATTTTAATAATAAATAATTTTTTTGTTGGCCCTCATTTATGAATAATTTTTTTTTGAAGGTCTTTAAATGTGGTTCTTCATTTTTTAAATTCATATTTTTATACATAATTTTAAAATAAGTGGGCACTGTTATGACTAAGCCTGTGAATGTTTGCTGGCTTTCATTTTTCATGTTCCCTCCACCTTCAGGGAGTTCCTTTTTTTTTTTTTAACTGTCAATTCTACTTTTCATATTTCATCAAAATTAACGTCAATTATATCCTATGAGTGTTGAATTTACCGAAAGAAATTAATTTCTCACATCATGTTAAATCAAAATTTAAATTTTTATTAGGATAGATGCTTATATTTTTTTGAATTAGAGAAATAAACATTACCGTTTGAAGTTAATTATAAGCATGATTGGACTCGCACATTTTTATTTAAATTAAAGAGAGTATTTTAGTTAAAGACTATGGTAGAAATTTAATTTTAGGGGGTCCAAAAAATTTTAAAATTTTAATTTAATCTGAAAAAAAAAGTTAAAAAAATTTCAACAATAAAAATATCAAAATATACTTCACTTATTATAGAGAATCACTAGTTTTTAAATTTTTTTACTGTACTTATTAATTTATCAACTGATTCTGCATAATAAATGAAGCGTATTTTGATATTTTCGTTATCAAAATTCTTTTAACTTTTTTTTCTATATTGAATTAAAATTTTAAATTTTTTTGAGGCTCACCTAAATTAAGTCTCTCTAACAATTTTTAACTAAAATTCCCCCTAGATTAAAATTTACATGCCATTAGATTATAAAATCACTGGAAAGCTTTTGCACAATCATTAAAAAAAAAAAAAAAAGTCGGTTCCATAACTTTGGGCCAAACAAAAAGTCAGTGCTAATGTGCTATTGCGCTACTGCTATCGTCTAACTGGGCAAAAAGGGAGAGAGGAGTGAATTATTGGAGATAAAGGTGCAAAAGCATTAACTTTGTGTCTTAATTACGATTACGGACATTGCAAGCTTTTTCATTGCTGTCAGTAACAATGCGTTTATGATATCTGCTCCTCTCTGCTACACCAAAATCTTTCTCATTGCCTCATGCATTAATGCTGACACAACGCCCAAGCTTTTACTACTTCCCATTCATGGAGATCCTTTGTAAACTGTAATCTTCCCTC